AGAAAATAAAAAAAATGATTGGATATGTTGGAGGATGAGATGAAATCTTTGGATGATAATCACATTCATAATTTGTTAAAGTTTCCAAAAGGCAAAAGGGTTTTCGAAAACAGGTGGATCTATAGAGTGAAACATGAAAGTAACTCTAAATCTCCGTGGTATAAATTTGGATTGGTGGTGAAAGGTTTTTGTCACAGAAAATGTGTTTATTTTAATGAAAATTTCTCAATTATGGAAGTTTTTTTATCAATTAGAACCATATTAAGTTTGGCAACTTCCCTTAACTTATAGGTATGACAAATGGATGTCAAAAATATCTTCCTTCATAGTGATTTTGAAGAAGAAATTTATATGAAACAACATGATGATTTCGCTTTCACCAAACCAGACGGGGTCTTCGCCCATCCTCTCAATGTTTTCGTTAAATTCGACAAAAGCCACTTTCTTGCTTTTGTTGAACTTAACCTTTTCGTCTTTAAGTCGTTCCAGTTGTCGAACTCTATCGGCCAATTGGGCCATATCCCTCAAGTACTGGGTATCTAACTTTTTCCTAATCGAATAGTCAAGACCTCCAGCAGCCATTTCGACCAACTCGTGCTCAGGCACTTGCGTGAAACATCTGGCCTTGAGCAAACAAAATCTATTGAGGTATTCTTCGATTGGTTCGGAGAACTTGCGATTCACACTAGCAAGTTCTTTTAAACTAATCTTAGTTTGGCCCATGTAGAATTGCTCATGAAACAAGCGCTCTAGTTGGGTCCAATTACAGACTGTATTGGGCGGTAAAGTTGTAAACCAAGTGAAGGCATTTTTTGTGAGAGAGCTTGGGAAATATTTTATCCTTAGACCTTCATCATTCGCTATCTCTCCCGCCTCAATCAGGTAACGAGCCACATGTTCGATAGTGGATTCCGTGGTATCCCCGGAGAACTTAGTAAACTTGGGCACTTTTGTCCTAGGGGGTAACTCCGCCTGAAGGATATAGTCTACTATAGGGGAGGTGTAGTTTGGCCTGGTGAACCCAGTGTTCAAACCATTTCTGGCCATAATTCTCTCGACCATGGCTACTAGATTATTATCGACGGCCACGTTATTACGTCGAACCTGTTGGACGACGTTGTCTGCATCCTGGTTTTAATTTACCATAACTACTCCTGGGTCTCTTTCTCCTGGAACATGGGCCTGATTTCTTAACGGTTCTTCCCTAAGAAGTTCGACTATGGGAGGATTGATCCGTCCTTGGTTCCCTTCATCAATTTCCATCGTATTTCCCAAGTGCTCTCGTGGGATGTTCGCTATTGGGGTCTGATTTCTGGCTAAGGGAGGTACCCCCATGAATTCGGCCAATCTTGTCAATCGTACTGCTAATTGTTGATTAGTATGGGTCGTATTCTGGATTAATGGTTGAAATATTTCACCCATGGTTTGTGGCAAGGCCTGGACCATTTGCAAATTACTTTCATCCATTTGCTGCCTTAAACATGCAACTGAGGTATTGGTCAAATTAGGGCCTTGCGTCGAATATCCTAGACTCTGATTCTGAGGATTTCGACCCATGTTCACGCCAGATCCTGACCCTTGTAATGGCGAAGCCATTGTATGGTCTGAGAATATGGGGGGCGCATTTTGGAGCCCTTGCATTACAGACGTGGGCATCCTATACTGAGGGTTTCTCGGTAACTGCGAGAACCCGGGGGGTAATAACTGTCTGGAAGCCGAATTTCCCCCTGATGGAGTTTGCGGATTCGACATTTAAGGCCCAATATATTCTAACACTGGTTGGTTGTATGGCCTTATTATAGTCGGCCCAATCCCTAACATTGAGGGTGATGGCACTGGCCTTACGGGGAGCACTGTCTGCTCCCCTGTCGACGATATCAAAGGTGGGACTACATCATTTCTCATTCCTTCACTAGAACCGTCTCCTTGAAGGTTGAGATTATTTGGCTGGTTTGTATCCATTGCCATATCTCTAATATTTCGTCTCGTTAATCTTTCTTCTTTTATAGCGGTAATTTTACCACTTCTTAGTAACATAAAATGTACTGTGCACGAAAGATCTATGAAACTACAATTTCTTAAGTTAGAATTTACACGAAAGGAATTGTCTCTAGCATTGTCCCACTGGGCGTGCCATTTTGTTTCCCTTGAAAATTGGAAAACAACCGCTGATCTTCCAAATATAACTTTGGTGACTAACAGGATCGATTATATTGATCCTAGGACATGTGCTAAAGGGTTTTTCTTGGTAATTCTATCTAAGTTTCACACTTTGGCAATATTGTGGTAAGAGGTTCTAAAAAATTACCTATTCTACTAATAGAAATAGATAAAAGGTAAAGTTTTCAACAAAGAAAAGATAAAAGTTTTAAGAAAAGAAAGGTTAAGGACGAAGAGGCAGTAAATGCATATAAAAAAAGGAAAGGAGGAAGGTTGCAATGAAAGTAAAGAGGACTTTGTAAAGTTTAAACAAGTAAAATAAACTTCATTGAAAAGATAAAGGATGGTGTGTTTACATCACGTACATTCTCTATAATACTCTCTTTCTCTACACTCGGATACTTGGAGTAATTTTAAGAGTAACTTGTACAATAGTAAATTACAACACACCTGATTCTATGTCTAAAACTTCCTAGTTATAATAGTAAAAAAAAATTACCAATAACTTCCTACTTCATAATCCTTCGCCACTTGTCGTGATGCATGAGACTGTTATTTATAGGACGCCACGTGTCCTTCTAGCAAACAAAACTACTCCCTCCAACTTATTCAAATTTCAAATCTTCAGGATAAATGCTCAGCAACGCAACGGTCGAAGCTTTCATGCTTTCCTACAAATATCGTAAATGCTTCGACTCCCCTCGCGGGTCTCACACTTCTTCGACCGGCTGACACATCCACCAATGCTTTTAATGCCTTTAAATACACCATTTGTAAAGGGGTGTTGAATTTAGGAGCTAACAGATACATGCCAAAGTGTTATCTGCAAGTTTTCTCATTTGATACATGTGTCAGTTTTGTTATTAAGATTGCTCTGTGGATGTTAGTCAACTGAACTCTTTATTGTCATTGAATTATTTTTTGTTTCCATAACTAAGATAATATAGTTGGTTTATTGATGTTGCATGCAAGAAGATCGATGGTCCTTGAAGCTTCTTAATTTTATTATTGGTGTGAATCAATTATTGTTTTGTTGGTTATGCTCTTTTAAAGCATGTTGGTCCTATGAAATTGATACATCCTATATTGATCTCTTGCTTTTCTTTATGAGACTGTCAGAATATGAAAAGGGGACTGACATCAACAGTAGAACAACACCCTAAGAGTGCATGTTGTGAAATGATTAAGAACTCACTCTGAAGAACATCTCAACTGATAATCAAGATGATGAGAAAAATAGACCAAATTTTTTTCTCAAACATGCTACCTCAGACATTCCTACCACAACTAATTTAACAAATGCAACTAGAAGACATGGAAACAAGAATTCTGTTAGTATTAATATTTTTATGTTTTCCCTCCCAATTAGCATCATAACTGCTACCACAAACCAGGTTAATTAATATTTTGAAACTTTTCCTTACAAAGGAAAATAATTTGATTTTAAACTAAATATCTTAATGTTGTGAATGCAGACGCTGTGGTTGAATATCATCACCGAGTACATCTTTGGTATCATTTACCCCGGAAGACCGATTTCAAATGCATGCTTCAGAACCTATGGTTACATAAGCATCGCTCAGGCTGTTTCGTTCCTTAGAAATTTCAAGCTCGGACATTATATGAAAATTCCTCCAAGGTCAATGTTCTTATTGCAAGTATATTTATTTTTTCAGCTGTTATAATTGTGTTTGTAAGGTTTTACTAGCATTTACCTTTCTTATATGTTATGTAATGTATTTGTTGTGTTGAAAATTATTTAGTTCATTGGTACAATGCTTGCTGGAACTATCAACATTTGTGTAGCATGGTGGCTGCTAGAATCGGTCAAAAACATATGTTATGAAGATCTTCTTCTCGAAGGTAGTCCGTGGACATGTCTGAGTGACCGCGTTTTCTTTGATGCATCAGTTATTTAGGGTCTAGTAGGACCTAAGAGGATATTTCCATAAAACCAATATTAGTTTGGCTATTGCACAAGGCATTTCCACAACAGTCATGGATTCCGTTGATTAATCTTTCAGTAGTCTTGGAAGCAACCGGAATGATGTCTCCAACAACAGCATTGAACTACAATGCATGGATTGTAGTTGGAACCATTTTCAACTTTTTTTTATCTTTCTTTATAGAAAGAAATGGTGACATTTTTTTCTTTGTTAACTAGTTTGAAATTTGCAGAAGTATCTATAGTAATGTTTGGTTGTTTTAAAATTTTGAATGTGATTAGTGTTGCATTGACTTATTCAAATTAGATTTTTATTTTTATATTACTATTACTTTGATATTTAACAATAATTATAATATTTTAAATATGAATTAAACACAAATAATAATAAAAATTAAAAATCTGCGAGAGAAATTACTTGTGACTGCGACTTTTTCATTTATTTTATCTGCGGAAATTTTAATTTTGTCTAAATCCGTCCGTCGAAAAACAAAATATTTTTAATAGTGTATAAATTAAGATTCCAGATTCAAAAAAGTGATTTGAACTTTAAGACAATTTAAAAGCGATTGAAAAACTATGAAAAAAATTATTATTTCACGATTCTAGACTCAATCCATTTAATTTAAATTAATATTTATAATAACAACTCGTTGAACACTCATTTTATGTTAAACAATGTTATTTATTATATAAACATAAATCATAAACAGAATAATTCAACAAATTCATAGATAATCTCATTGAAAATAAAATATGCAAGCCAAGTCCAGGTACAAGATTTAAGACGAAGTACACAACTAAAAAAACCCAAATATAGATTTTCCTATAACCTTAACCAAATTCTTTCATAAGATTTTCAAGAATTACTATCCCAATTTTCACCAAAAGATAATCAATCAAAATAAAAATTACTGTCATAACAAAAATCAAAATGATAGTCATCAGAATCATAAACATAACACCAATAGTCGAAACAGCAATAGTCGATGGGTGGAATAAATTTTTTGATCTGCTCACAGTACCTTTCCCTCAAACTTTGACTCAAACTTCCTTCTGAATGCATAAAAAAACAATGTTGCAGGTCAAGAGATTCAAGAAGAGGACATCCATCAAGAATAGCAACAACCCCAACTGATGTAAGCCCCAGTCCTGAAATCGTAAGACTGCGTAATCCAGGCATTGTTTTCGCGATAGCAAACGCCTCCTCAGTCTGATCAATGGACATATTCTCATTCTGATACAAATTTCTACCGTATGTCAGTGTTTTCAAAAGAGGACAACAACTACCAACAACTTCAAAGAAATGTTTAGATAGATTGTTGTTTTTTGTAACGATGAGTTCTTCGATGAGTGGAAGTTTCTTCACGGCTTCAATAATTCCTTTATCCGAAAGTTCATCACAAGATTCAATCCCGACGCGCTGTAGATTACTTGCCCTGTAAAATTCAAATAAAAATCTTAACAATAAAAATAAAAATATAAAAATATGTTCATATATATTGAAAGTTACGAGAATGAATCATCAGTCATCACCTATCAGTTATGTATTCGAGGAGCTCATCGTTTCCAAACATACATATGTAAACGTCTTTTAACTGACCACAGCTTCGATCAACAGCATATTGGAACATCTTCACCCAATCCGCAATGCTGTAGCCACTATGGAAGAAATCGGGCATATGAATGGTGCGCCAGATGCAAGGTTCCTTGCAGAAATTCCACCATAAAGGGCACACTAGAGATGCATTTGTGATTATGTCAAACATAGGAAGCCTCCGTAGAATGTTTAATGTAAGGTCTCTAGGAAGTTCAAGCCAATTTGGCATTGTTGTTGGGTTTTTCAGTTTCACTTCCCTTGCTGGAACCCTAGAAGACGCCATATTATTCATCTAGGGTAATTATAACCTTTTATAGTATGGACTAGGTTTTGATTGCTTGTTTATTTTACAAAATATATTAATCTAATGACAAAATAATAAGCCTATATTAAAGCAAATACATTAGAACAAATATTTTAGTAGAAAAAAAATATTTATATATGAAATTAAGTGGTGATTGATAGACCATTTAATCACCGATCTTTAATTATTCAATTAAATTTTTTTATTTTAAAAAGAAATCAAAGTTGAAATTATTATTTTTGTCTTACTGGTTTTTATATTTTTTTATGATAAAAAATTATTGTATTCATCGTTTTGGAATTCTCATTCAATAGAAATAATAAAGTTTATTTTTCCTTGTTTGACCTAGGATTTTTTTTTTTTGTGTATGTGATTCTTCTTTTAATAATTTATATATTTTTTAGTGTTTTTGATCCATAGTTAATTTATTATGTATTTTGTAATTAATTTGATAAATTTTGGCAAGACTAATCTATCATCAGAATCTCTAATTAAATGATCCACTGATCAATTTTGTGTATAAAGATAGTGTTTCTCTTTTAAATTATTTTTTTCTTTTTAAAGGATCCATTAGTAACATAAATGTGTGATACTATTTCACTCTAGGATAATTGTCATAATTTTACGATTTATAAATTGAATAAAATCGAACTCATATCAGCTTGATTTGACTAGTTAAGAATTGATTCAGTTTAAATTTTAGTTTGAATATAACACGAAATCTTTTTAAGCTCAAACTCGACTCGTTATAAATTTATGAATAATTCGATTCGAATCATTAGATTTAGATCGTTTGTTTCACAAATTTAAAAGTCATTTTTTAAAGTCTATTTTTTATATATATATTTAATATTTTAAAAAATTGTTGAAATAAAAAAATTATTAGATCAGAATTTAACTTTATTTCAAAAATCTACGAATTCAAAAACTACACAACTTTCCAACGATACATTTGAATGTCTAATTCAAAAACTATTTAATTAGAGTATAAATTTGTCTCAAAAATCCACAACTTGACAAATATTTTTTTAAATTAAAAGAAATTTAAAAGATATATTTGATTTTTTTTTTAAATGAAAGAAATTTAGAAGATATTTTTTAAATTAGAAAATATATGTTGATTTTATTTGTATAATTATTCTTAAAAGTATTTTGCTCACTTGAGAATATACATTATCAATTAAAATCCTATGATTAAAAGAAAATATAGAGTTAAGATTTAGAGTAAATTTTTAAATCTACTCTTAAACACAATTAGGGGTGTCAATAGGGTCGAGAATGTGTGGAGGATGTTTTCCCGCTCCCCGCCCCAACCCCAATATTTTCACATCCCGTCCCCATTTCCCATCACTGGATTTCCTGTGGAATATTGTTCCCCATCACCATCTGCACAGATCCCCATGGAGATCGAGTCTTACAAAATTTCTATATTTTTCGATCAAAACTATGACATTAGTATTTCGTTGTTTTTCCTTTTTAAAAAATATATATTTTGTAACTTTCTTTTTAAGAAAATAAAAACACATCTTGTATCAATAACAAAAAAAATGCAAAAATACTTGGAGTTATGAAAACATAACCACTAATTTACTAATTGAATGAAAAACAGGTTTGAAGTATAGTGAAGTTGAAGAATAATTACCATAAGCACAATGAACAAAGGAAAGTGGTTGTTGTGATGATGATGAGAAAAAAGGAGATGAGGAATAGATGAGACAAAGAAAATTGAGAAAAGAAAAAGAGGAGACGATGTGTACATTGTATGTAATGGATGCACTTTTTTAGAGTTGGGTAATTTGATAGTGAAACAATACATTATACAATGAAACTAAAAAATAAAATGATTCACTGATAACTCTTCACTTTCTAATATATTAATTATGATTTTTATAAAAAAAATATACAAAATTATATAATTATATATTATATACAAATGTTAAATAATATAGTCGGGATCGGGGAATCCGCCGAATGGAGGGTACTTCCCTGATCCCCATCGCGAAGTGTCATAAAGGGAACTTTTCTCTCCATCCCCTTCCCCACGGGGAAATAATTCCCCGACTTGGAGCTTCGCACAGATAATATCCACATGAATCCCCATTAACATATACAAATTGACATCATTAAACACAATATAATCATTCTCATATAATCGAGTTGAGTCATGAATCTAACGAGTCAAACTATGTATAGTTCAAGTTCATCTCATTTAGTTAATGAATTAATTTTTCTTTCATATTCAGCTCATTTGGTTCATAAACCTAATTCAACAATTTAATTGTCGAACTAAATTTTGAACTATTTTTGAGTTGGTTTGATTCATTGTCAGCCTTAATTGTGGATTATAACCTGCGTAATTTGATCTTACCGGCTGATCAGAACCTGGAGTGGGCTAGAGACAACATTTGTGATGCTGGGTGTGAGAGATGATGAAGGGGTGTATGTAACACCCCCTTTCTATACCCCCAAATAATACATTTAGTCATTTAGGCACTTATTTAAAATTTCATCAGAGTGATTCATAACACGGTATAAAAAAGAGTATGCCACATTATACTTGAAATTAAACATACATACAACGCCTGCTCATATAGATATGCAACAGTAGGTAATTCACAAATAAGGAATTTAATTCCAAGACCCACAATTCATACATTTAGAATTAAAGCGGAACATCTAAATGTCGATTCATTCACATTCATAAAAGTGTATATATACAACCATCAGTTAATTCATGCTTTACAAATATATCCACAGCAGATACATACACATATGTATCACAAAAGAATCAAAACAAAATAGCTTCAGAAGAGCCAAGGCTTCCTAACTACCCAGATGTTACATATCAGAGCCATCGACCAAAAAGAATGAAGACTAGTTCACAAAAAGGACCTCCAGCATCCTACTCTGCAATGCCTCATAGAGCATCATAAAACAACAGAAGGGTGAGAAACAACATCATAACAATTAATGCATAAAATTATATATATATACATATATTCATAATTGTACAAGTTATACTCAATTTATGTTCTCACCACATTAAGCATATACAAATAATCATGTCTCTACACATACGCATGAACATTCACTATATGTTTCTCCCTACAAGCATATATAACATACACAATTATATTCATACAACTAATGCATCATACACAGATGACTCATGCAACTCATAGAGACCGACACACGACTCTATGCAGATGCAAACGCGGTACCAACTCATTTCAACAGATTCTCTAAGGAATCGAGTATTCAGCAGATTCTCCACGGAATCAAGTATTCAGCAGATTCTCCACGAAATCAAATATTCATCAGATTCTCCACGGAATCGAATATTCAGCAGATTCTCCACGGAATCAAATACTCTGCAGATTCTCCACGGAATCAAATACTCTAGTCAATCCTCCACGGGATTACATGTTATGGCCGATTCTCCAAGGAATCACACAATGCAACCGATTCTCCAAGGAATCACATATAACCACCGTTTCATACGAGGTTCTGCAGATCCTCCGAGGGATCAATCAACACAAAATGCATACATGTTTACAAACATACTCATGCATTTATCACATTTTATTGCATATATTCGTTATGCATTCACAACGTATATATCACCATGCATATACGTATTCATCATTCAATTTCACACCATTCATACACTAGGATTCACGCCTTATGGCTACCCACAACATAACAATTAACAACATAAACCACTTCCCTAATATAGGGGTTAAATCATACTCGAATCGGATAACCGACCTCAGATAAAAACACAAGAAAAACCACATCCTGTCATGTTCGCCACTTATTCGCCTAGCGAGCGGCTAGCGAGCATTCGCTACCTGTTCGCCTAGCGAGCAAGCTCGCGAGGGCAAACAGAACCCACTGACTTGGTTCGCTACCTCGTTCGCCACAGCGAACCCCCAGCGAGCCATTCGCTACTCCCTTCGCTGCCAGCGAAGGAGGCCAAAACACCACTGTCCCAAGTCTGGGACCATTCGCCACACACTCGCCTAGCGGTCTGCTAGCGAGCGTTCGCTGCGCCTTCTCCTAGCGAGCTGCTAGCGAGTCTCCTGCGAACAGCCATGGCAGATTCTGTTCCAGCTCCTCCAATTCACCAAAATCACCCGATTAAATCCAACTCATGTCCAGTAGCCTTAGTCTAACCTATATTGACTAATCTACATCATTTATTTCAGTTTCCAACCGATTAAAAAATGATTTCTATTGATTAATCCATTGCCCTAACATTGAAAAATAGTGGAAAACTCACAACAATCCAAACACACACACATACAATCATATACATTAAAGAGATGATGGAGTTTCACACCCTTACCGATCGATTGCAAGCTTTGGTGATGATTTCTTGATGATTCTAGGTTTTCCTCTCCACTTTCTCTTCTCTTTCTCTTCTCCTCTTTCTTTCTCTTGTTTTCCTTCTTATGTTTCTATTTTCTTTCTTTTTCTCTCTTATTCTATTTCTATCTCTATTTCTTTCCTCTCAAATTCTTTCCAACACTTACCAATTAATTCTCACACTAAATTGCTAAATGTCTAAAATACCCTTTTTACTCTAATTCCCCGAAAACTCTCCAAATCGGTAGAAATAGATAAAATAAGCAAACACAACATAATAACATATAATTTCTCAATTTAAAACAAACATCAATTAAATAAATTAAAAGACTCGACAATTAATGGGAATTCAGAATTGGGGCGTTACAGTGTACCTGCAAGGCACTCCGATGCTAAAGTGAGAATTGGGAGAAAGAAAGCAAGTACAGAGTATGTGTGTGTTAGGATGAATATTGAATACTTGACCCTCTTAAATGAGAGGGTTTTTATAGTGCCCCCAGCGCTTGGCCATTGGTCCCTATTTTCGGGGCGAGATAATCGTTCCCTGAAGAATATGTAACATCCAAAAACTAGTCGTTGGGACGGACAAAGGTGTCCAAAACTAGTCGTTG